TCTCTCTGCCACAAAACCTGCCAGAACCCTGGAGCACTTCTGGCCTGCTTGAATGTGCCAGGCAGCAAATGGGGCTGGGACAAGGCCCGCTCAGCTGTCCCTCCTTGGGTGGCAGAAACCTCAAAGAGTGGGGCAGGAGGGACAAGCTGGACCCCCTCTGAGGCTCGCAGTGAGCTCCCCACAGCCCCTTCCTTCTCCCAGGCCATTAATACTCTGACCACTTGGCTGGGACTGCTTCCTTGGGTCCCCCTCCACCAACACCATTTCAGCCTCTGGACCTGCTATTATTCTACTCCAGGTCTTTTGCCACCAGGTACAACCAAGTGTCCTCCCAAAGTACAAGCCAGGGCCACAGACAGGACCAGATGGTGGAAGACTTTTCCTTGGAGGAAAGGTCACGAGAGATGGCACTGGAGAAGAGAAGGTCCCAGGGAGAGCTTATTGTGGCCTTTCAATCCTTCAAGGGGACACAGTTTTTCAAAGGGCCTGTTGCAATGGGACAAAGGGTCATGGTTTTCAAGTGGAAGAGGATAGATTCTGGTTACATCTAAGGAAGTCATTGTTTAGAATGAGGGTGCTGAAACACTGGCACAGGAAGTGGATGCCCCATCCCTGGTCAGGTGGGACAGGGCTCTGAGCAACCCGGGCTAGTTGAAGATGTCCCTGCTCGTTGCAGGGGGGTTGGACTAGATGCCACTTAAAGGTCCCTTCCAAGCCAAACTATTCTAGGATGCTACTTAGTTGTCATTTGAAAAGCACCAAGACTGGGGATTAGTAGGAGAGGAGGCCTCCTGATGCCTCTGAGTTTAGCTGATGACAAAGCCCATCCCTGGAGAGGTGTTTCACCTGCAGCCACTTTGTCTGCAGAAGCTGCTTGGTAGGCCATTGGGGCCTCACATTCCCGTACAGGTAAGACTGCAGGATGGATCGGAACATAGACGGCGGATTTCTGGGAGTCTCCAGCTGGGGTGGCACGTCCTTAGGATTGGGACAAAGGAAACACAAGACAGCCATTAACATGCACTTGGTCCTACGGGCCTCAGTTCTACAGTGCG